TCACTGACTGACTCATCCAGAGTAACTTCCAGTCCTATAAACTCCACTCATGGTAAGTGCCCTGAACCTGCGGTTCCCAATCCCCGGGCTGCAGCTGGGTACCAGTCGGTGTGGCCTGTTAGGAAACTGGCGATGCATCACCGCCTGAGCTCTGCACCTCACCCCACGACACCCCCCTACCCCAACTCCTGTCCGTGAAAAATTGTCTTCCATGAAACCGGTCCCTGGTGCCCAAAAGGTTGGGGACCACTGCACAGACATACAATTTTTAAAATCTTTTTTACCATATTTTTACTGTACCTTTTCTATGTTTAGATATACAGATACTTACCATTGTGTTATAACTGCCTACAGTATTCAGGACAGTAACGTGCTGTACAGGTTTGTAGCCTAGGAGCAATAGGCCATACCATATAGCCTAGGCATGTACTAGGCTATACCATCTAGGTTTGTATTAATAGTACACTTTATGATGTTTGTACAACTAAATTGTCTAGTGACACATTTCTCAGAACATATGCCCGTCATCAAGTGACCCATGACTGTATTTTTATTTCAGCCTTATTCTTGTCCTTTCTTTCTGGGACTCCAAAGAGAAATATGTTAGACCATTTGATATTGTCCCACAGTCAATGATGCTACATTATTTTTTCAGGTTTTTTCCTCTTTGTACATCATTTTCAAAAGTTTCTATTGCTGTGTTTTCAAGTTTACTGATCTTTTGTTCTGCAGTGTTTTTTGGTATATTTTTTGTACATTTAGAAATTTAAAACATTTCCAAATGACTCACTGTCAAAGAACAGTGGAAATTTGAAAATATTTAAACTGAACAGCAAAGAAAATACATTTTAAATTCACTGGACACAGCCAAACATACTTCTTAGAGGGAATTTAGATACTTAGAGAAATTTAAATACTTGTTTTAAAAAACAAAATTAAAAATTGATGAGCTAAATACCTAGCTCAAGAAGTCAGAAAAAGAATAAAAAAGTAAATCCAAATAAAGTAGAATGAAGGAAATTATAAAGACAAATGAAGAAATTAATACAATTAGAAGACAAAGATAGAGCATAAAACATCAATGTCCAAAGTTGTTATTTAAAAAGACTAATAACATAATTTAATAAAATAAAATAAACTTTTGGCAAGACTATTCTAGGGAAAAAGAGAGAAGACTCAGAAAACAATACAAGAAACGTAAAAGGCAATATAACTATAGATATTCCAGAGATTTTTTTTAAAAAGTAACTAAATACTAGGAAAAACTTTGTGTCAATAGATTTTGAAAATTTAAGTGAACTATATCATTATCTAGAAAATTATAACTTTCCAAAACAATTTTTGAATAAATATAATGCACCAATATACTTATACTATAATAAACAAATAAAGGGAAATAATTGAGCATTTATCCCACCTTTCTTATACAAACTCTGCCTCAGGGTATCTGAATAGAAGGAGGGCAAGTCTGTCTTTGTAGAAGTATTCCAGGTAAGCAATGAAGAAGGAATGATTGAACTAGAACACCAGTATTTTGCAACCCCCAAATGACTTGTTTATCAGGAGTGGCTAATATCACAAAAAGAGACAATCAACTATTATATTCGAAGAACATGTCATCACCTAAAAAGTAATCTTAACAAAGAAACAGGATTTGAAACCAAGGAAGCCGCTTGATTGAAGTTCCTATTTGCATATAACCACTTAATTGTCAGCTATGACAGAGGGATTTATAGTGTGTAAGGTACACAGAAAGTGCATATGTCACAGAATGATTCCTGCGAGGACTGTGAACTGAGTTCTGGAAGCTGGCTGAGTGAGCCAGGTGTAGGCAGAGAAGTACATCCTTTGCAGGGGATAAAGGCATGAGGTAGGACTGATGGGCGATGCAAAGAGCTTGAGGAGCTTTGTGTAGCCAACTGAGCAGTTTATTTTATTCTATAGGTGATGAAATGTCATGCAAAGATTTTACATCAAGAAACTAATATGATCATATCAGAACTTTGATAGGATCAGCTTATTGGCAGTATGGAGTATGCCTTAGAGCAAGACAAGATTTCAGGCAGGGAGATCAAAAAGACCAACACAGCAATTTATTTTAAATATCAGTTATATCTTTAACACATTAACTGCCATGTGAGTTGTATTAAGCTCAGGCTAGTTTTGACCCCGGGGCCCCATGAAGCAAAACCCTGCAGTTGGTTCATGAAAATATTACTTGTTGATGTTCTTATTGTTGCAATTAATATTGACAATTTAATTCTAAAAACGTGGATTGCATTGCATATAACTCATGCACAGAAAACAATAAAAAATAACAAATTAGAAAAGATCATTTTGTTTCAATAAAACACCGTGGCCCCAGGGAAAAAACTTTTTTTTCTAGTGTGGCAGTCAATGTGTTAATTGAAATTTAGGAGACTCACCAATATCATCAACTATATTTATAAACTGCCTCATGGTAGGGTGGTAATTTATTGGGATGAAATCTATTTAGGTGTAATTACATACTTTAAAAAAATTCAGATAATAATAACTTTCTGAACTTATTCTTAAATTATATGGATTGTGTAGAATCTTAAGCATCTGCTGTTGAATATAATTTGATTTGAAAAAAATATATACACTAATAATAATAAAATGATAATTTCCTGTGCTTATGCCCTGGACTTAGGACCAAAAAGATCTAGATTTGAATTTTGGATCTACTACTTAGCAGCAGTATCATTCTAAGAAAGTCACAAACACAGTGTGCCTCAGTTTCCTCATCTGTAAAATAAGATAGCAGGAATTGTTTTGTTCACTGCTCTGTCTCCAGCACTAGCATAGTCACACTCTTAAATGATGTCAATAAATATTTATTGATTCGAGGCAAATATATTCCACAGAGTTGCTGTGATAATTACATGAGATAAAAGTTGTATAAGTTTCTAACACAGATATTAAATGGCTGCTCTGTGTGGGGCACTATGCTGGGTGCTGGGGATATGATAATGAGTAAGACAGCATCTCTCCCCTTTGGAAGCTTTAGTCTAGAGGAGCTACACAAATTATGTGTGATGGAGTAGAAAGTACCATGAAGAGTAGGTGTTCCATAAACGTCAAATTTTTATAGCACTTTATACTTTACAAAGCAATTTCATGAACATTATTGCATTCAAAACAATGGATACAGTCAGTTTTATGAGAATAAACAAAGGTTTTAGGTATTTAGCAGAAGATAAGGTGATCTGTTGGGACGAATAGGCACCGCTTCATGGGAAGGATGGAATTTGAGGCTTCAAAAAAAAATGGATGGATTTTGACAGGAATAAAAGATGGAGGAGTGAGGTTTTATAGACAAGCAAACGCATAAGCAAATACGTAAGCGAAAGTATGTCCTCAGTAATTCCAGGTTGCTTTATTTGTGTCCATGACCATGTGTTTACAAATCTCCTCTGGAATTCTGCTGAATATGGATATTTGTAATCTTTGGAATTAACTTCCACCCACCTTTGAAAATCTGGAGAACATTTTTTTCCATCTCTAATCTTCATGCACATGCTTAATGAATTCTGTTGATTACTGATGGAAGTTACAGGACAACATTAATTTATTCACAGATACTTATTGAACCCTTGGTATGTTCAAGACCCTGTATTTGGTACTGTGGGGGGCTACAAGATGAACTATATAAATACCTACCCCATGTATACAAAGAACTACCCTACAAAACAGCTGTTAAGTGCCATAACTGAGTTGAAGCTTCATTTGCCATAGGAGGGATAAGAAGAGAGGGAACATCTGCAGTTTCTTTTTCCAATTCTCTTCCTACAACTAATTCATCTAACCTTGGAGATTTTATTTCATTTTATGTTTTTTAAAGTTAACCGTTCTTTTACAACCTCCTCTTCAGAATTACTTCTCAGGGTTTGTTGTGTCCTTTCCAACTCGAATGTCTTTCTCTTTACCCAAAGATTGACGCAATTAGGAGTCGACTGCCTTCTCTCTGCCATCAGGTTTAATACGTGCCATACCTCATCCAGAGAGACTTTAGTCAGATCTCTACTTTCTTGTTCTGAATATTCTTTACAGTATCTTCTATTGTGCTTAGCATATTTGCCATATCCACTTGACTTTGGCCTTTAGCCTCTTCAAGAGTACCCTTACGGAGGAAGGTCCAGAAAGTGCTATGCTTTACTTTGTGACGCACTGTTCATGTGCGTTAGTGTAACACTCAGAACAGCCCTCAAGGACGGAACATCTTATCTGTATTTAGAGTTACGGAAACTCTGATCCTCTCAGAGAATAATTTTTTCAAGGTCTCAGATCTCCTAAGTGGTAGTCCTTGGAATTTGAACATTGCTATTTCTGACCTCAAACCCCATGTTTTTTCTACAACATATTAACCATGAATAAGGTGTATTTTAAAATTCACCTTTCCGTTTTTGTAAAGTCTTCTAGAAATTTCAGCTCATCACAGTTTCCTAAGTCTTACGGATTTCATATACTTAACGAGCATTTATTTGCCAGTGAAGGCCTAGAATTACCTGCCTTCTGTAGCAGCCCTAAGTCTGTTCATTTTTGTGATCATTTATAATCTTATAGTCATAATTATTTCTGTGAATAATGTGTATGGCAGTCTGAGATTTTCTAAAATTGACAATGCTCAGAATGCCCTTGTGCTCTCATTTGATTCCAAAATGACTCAGTTTCCTACATTTTTTTTTTTTAATGGGGGTAGGTTGTAACAGAACAGAGAAGTGGTTTTACTTTATCTCTCCGCCAGACGTTCAGCTATCTTTTAAATTTTTTTGTTCCTGCGTGGCAACTCTGGAGGCCAACAAGGCATCAAGCTTATGACAAAACGTGGTCGGTAATTAAAACAACAAATCACTTAGCCACGCCCCCTAAAAAAAAAAAGCCCCGTCCCGGAGGCGTGGGAACGGGCAGGGGGTGGGGCTGCGGTCGGGTCGCTGAAGGATTTATAGGTCACCCGGAAGGCACGCGAAGTCCTCCGCGGCGCTGGGAGCAGGGCCTTTCCGAGAGCGCAGCCCTCGCGCGCCGCTCGCCGTCAGCGCCGGCCCAGCGCTCTGCCCGCCCTCGCCGAGCCTCTCGCGGCCGCTGCCTACCGGGCGGCCCGCGTCGCAGCGGTAGTTAGCCGAGCGCGGGCTATGGCCGCCGCGGGGGGCGCCCGGTTCCTGCGCGCCGCCTCCGCGGCCCTGGGCGGCCCGGCCCGCCGGTGGCTGCTCCTCGCGGGGCCCCGCGCTGCAGCGGGAGGCCCGCTTGGGACCCGGGGCCCGGGCGGGAGCGCGGGGGTGAGCCGGCCGCTGAGCGTGTCGGCGCCGGCGCGGAGCAGGTAAGGCGCGGGCCGGGCGCGGGAGGGCGGGGCTCCCTGGCCGGCCTCTCGTTCTGTCGGCCTCCCCAGGGCGCCTGCGTGTCGGGCCCGCCGCGGAGGTCCGCCTCTCGGCCCGCTCCTCCCGCGCACCCTTCTCGGCTCCGTCTTGCCGCTCGGTGGCGTCGCTGCCTCCCCTCGCATAGCAAAGTTTCCTTCCTGAACCACCCACGCCTGGCGGGAAACGGGGACCTGGGACCCCTGAGTTCCCTTTCCCAGCGCCCCCGTGCCCTACGGAAAGCCGGCCCTTTGCTGCGGCAGGTTCTCCGTGTGTTTGGGCTGGAATCTAGCCCTAGCTCTGCCCCCACCTGCAGCGCCCTTCCCGACATGCTCCAGTTGTTGTCCCAGCCTGACATTCCTGCGGGCCTTCTAGTTCTGGGCCTTTCTCCTGTAGTGGTAGGACACCCCGGCCCCAGTTCTTTGTCAGGTAGTGTCCACGTAGAATACACTCACTCCATCCCCATGCTGCGCTGTATGCTCTCTTCTAGTTGTTAAAAGGGTTAAGGGCCCCTGTATCGCAGTGGGTAAGGCAGGGCTTGAAACTGGACTTCATATGCGTCTAACTTGTCCAACTTCCTCAATCCCTAGAAACCTCCATTTCCCCATTTGTAAATGGAGGATAACAATAGTATAAGCCTTGTAAGGTTATTTGAAGAATAAATGAGATAATACGGAAGACACAGCTGGTCTAGTGCCTAGCAGATATTGCTGGGTCAATAGATGCCACCTGTCAGCAGCAGCAGCAGCAGCAGCAGAGGTGGCGCCCTCTTAGATACGCGGTGTCAAAACAGGGTTTTGTATTAAATGTTGAAAGAGATGTAAAAAGTTTTCCCCTAAATGTGTAGAAGTTTTATATTCTTGGGTGTATTTGTTTTTTAAAGACACAGTCCTCTTAGATATCCTAGAGAGAAGATGTACTCATAATTTCAGAGTATGGCAACATGGTGGAGATTTATATAATGCAAATCCCTTAACAGTTCTTTGGAAATGTAGCAGGAAGCAAGAACTAGAGGGAGAGTGAGTTGGATTTGTATGTTGCCTTTTTGAATTTCTTCCTGATTGGTCCCTGGGAACAGAGTCTAGAATTCATTCATCTCTACCCCCTTAATCCTGTTATGCGGTTGTATGCTCAGTAAGATTTTCCTGCATGAACCGTGAGGGAAATCATGGAGCAGGCAAGCCAGATTTCTTTTGTTTCTGTTTCCCCTGCACTTCCCTGCCTTTGATCTCTGCCTGTGTGAGTGCCTTTCTTTCTACCACAGGTGCATTTTGGAAAAACTATAAATTGGGAAAGATATTGAACATATCTGTGTAACTGGTGTTTAAGGGAACATGAATGTTTTTTGCAAATGGGAATTATCTCCCCCAGATTTATTGTTTGGATTTGGTTATGTCATTTTGTCTGTTCCATTCTTTTATAACTCTGCCTTCCCCTTCATTGGCACAGTTTCTAACGATGGTCTTGTACTTGCTGACACAGACTTTGGAGCTACAGCTAGATTTTCCAGCTCTCATTATCCAAGACTTGTGCTGTCCTATATGGTAGCCACTAACCACATATGGCTTTTGTAGTTTAAGAGAATTAAAGTTAAATAACATTAAGGATTCAGTCTCCCAGTTACACTGGCCACCTTTGAAGTATTCAGTAGCTGCACATGGCCAGTGGCTTCTGTATTGGACATTGCAAGTAAGTGTAGAACGTCTTTGTTATTGTGCAAAATTCTGTTGGACAGAGCAGTTCTGTTATAGAAGCTGTGGTTCTGACTTTGAAGATTAACAATTAGATAAGCTATCAGCAATTGAGAGTCAAAAAACTCCTTTTTCTCTTAAAAACTCCGACACAGTACTTTGTATTTTGCAATGATTTAGGTTGCAAAGGGCTTGCACATATATTATTTCACTTGACTCTTAAGACAATCCTATGAGGTAGGGAGGGTAGATAAATGGGAATAAAATTTTCATAGTAAGTAGCTAGTAAAACTAGGACTAGAACTCAAGTAGTTTTTGTGTGTTTGTTTTTTGAGCACTGTAATAGTTGATGACAAAGTCCTTAGTTTAGTGAGTCATTTGGAAGAGGTAAGGTGGGTGTGGAAGTAGCCAGCTCTAGACTGGGCCCTTTTCTGGGGCCTAAGATTGCAGCTTGGGTGGGCTGTAACTTCTTTGCCTACCAGAAGCCTGCCAAGAACTGTATGTATCACAGCAACCCCTGACAGGTTTGTTAAAATGTCTGCTGTGCTTGAGAAGAGTAAATGGTAAAGGATGGTAAAGGTAAACAGGTGAGTAAATGGCTAACAAGTGGAGAAAATAGTTTGTGGTGATGGCTGATTAACTGGTAGTGATAGAAGGTTAGAAGGATTGTATTTATTTTCCAGTGCTTGAAATCTTATCCTTGAGAACAGCTAAAAGCTTTTGCTAGTCCTTAGAATTGGGAAAACAAGTCTACAGAATCCATCAACACCAATTGTTAATAGTGAATGGATAAAGTTAATTGGTAAAGTACATGTGTGTACTCCTTTAAAGAACAAAGTATTACCAGAAACTTTCTCTTTTAATTCTCTCCCGTAATTCTTTAAATTAAATTAAATTCTTAAATCCACAGTGTGGTAAAGTTACTGTTAAGCCCTTTTACCCGTAAGTAAGTAAGTGGCTTCCTATGTTTATCTAATGAGTATGTTAGAACCAGGGCTAGCATCTTCATCTTCTACTTTTAGGTTCCATACTCTTTAAACTGCAGGATTACCTTTCCTTTCTCATTTCTGCTTCCTCTCCTATCCACTGGTAAATCTATTAATACTCTGCAGTTTTTCGTAGGGCTGTACACCTTGAATACATAGCAGGTCAGGCCTTCTTAAGCAGCAAAAGGGGCTGGGCTTTAAATAATAGTTACCGGTGTTTGTTGAGTTCTACTATGTGTTAGGTATTTTGCATACATTGTCAAAATTGTAAGATAAATGTCCTGATTTGACAGGACAGGAGGAGAAAGGAAAAGGAGGCTGATACAGAAGAGATTTCTAATTCCTTTGCTCTAAAGTTAGCTCTAGAGTGCTCCAGAGCAGCAATCTTAAAACCTCTGAATTTCAGTAGTGTGTATAAATGATGGAGTTCTTTCTGTTGTACTTCTGTAGCTGCCAGGCATTTGTTGATGTCAAATCTATAGAGTTCCCTACTAGGCTTGGACCCAAATTTCCATCTGGCTTCTGAACATTCTCATCTGGCTTTTTCCTTTATTAAGTTAAGCAGGTCTAAACTTGAACTCATTTCCATCTTCCCCAAAGCTCCTTCTCCTCTCTTGAAAACCTAGGTTAAACTATACCACGTAATTGCCAGTTGCCAGAGCTGGAAATCTCAATGTTATTTCTCTCCTCTTTCTCAATTCACCTTATATACGTGTTCATTAAAACCTTTCATTCCACCACCTGAATATTTCTTAGGTCAACATCTTCTATATCCTTGGTTAGTTTGTGCTCTTTTTTCTCTCTTCCTCCAAGGTATCTTCATTCTCAGCCATTCCACCTTGAAAAAAATGGCCGTAGTCAAGTTGAAAATCATGAATAATGTTTGGGAATACTTGTTTTAAAGTATTTTTTGCTATGAAAAGAAGTCGGAGGGCACAGGCCCTTTTGAGGGACATTCTTTTTTTTTTTTTTTTTTTTTTTGGGA